GAGAGCCTTCCCATCTCATAGCCCCCCGTGTGTCCAGAGGACACTGGCTCTGCAGAGAAGGGATGCACGTAAACCCAAAGGAGGAAGAAATAGAGAAAATTAAGAGAAACATTGTCCCGGGATGGAATTTCATTTTACTGAAACACAAGTGAAGCTACGCAAGCACCCAGCCCCACAAGCATGGCCCAATCTCACCTTTAAGAGCATATGTTTCTCACTGGGAGTGAGATACATCTTGTTTTCATAGTAATCCACGCAGATGTTGACAATATCAGCCAGCAATTCCTCATAGCCAGGGATAACCTCTAGTTGTTGGTGCAGACACTGAAACATCAACAGGGGCCACATTATCCACATGGACAGAGGAACAGCAGGAACCAGGGGAGAAACATATTTGAAGGATTAAGAGCAGAATCATACAAGGTTTCTTAAAGCCTCGTCTGTGCGCTTTTCTCTAGTTACAGACAGAAGATTGACCTCACGGTGCCACCTGTAAAGAACAACCTTCCTTCTGCAGGACAGCTTTCCCCATCAGACCGATCTCAACAGCCAAACATCAGACAGTGAGATGTAAAGAAAGATGTCTCAGAAGCAGAGTTTCTGACTCTCTCCTGTCTCTGTGCAATATTTCACCTAATTAGCAGAAGCTACAGAGCCTGTGGAGTGTGGAGAGCCACAGAGTCTGATCTGCAGTCCACACGCAGTGGCAGAGACAGAATGGGTGGATTTCCTGGAAAAAACAGGGGAAGAGTTTCTGGCAGAATCCACCCCCTCTCCAAGAACTCTTCTTGCATCTTTTAGACTTTCGTCTTTGTCTTGACATAGAGACCTTCAAAGCCACCAGGATGACCCATGAGAAGGATACATTGCTGGTGTTAAACAGCCTGACTCAAGACCACCCATCCGTGGCAATGACCCAACAGTTATTGCCACAGTCTGGTCTGAAGTGCTGTCAGCCTTGGTGAGATCATTGCCTCTACCCACCTATGGAAAGGTTAACTGCTTCAGAACAAAGAGACCTGCCTGTGTGATGCGGTTGTGGTTTGCCAGGAACATGGAGAGGTTCTGGGACTCCTGGATGGACTGGGGGTCTGCCATCTTCCGCAGAAACTGGGCAGCTCTGGAAGGGAGAAATCCAATGTCACCAAAGATCAGTCACCCAATGTGAGACTCTCACCACCCATCTTCCATTTCACCTGCAGCACCCTTGGACCCCCCTGCAGTGCAGCTCTGCTCTCTCCTTGCTTTACCAAGAGGGAACTGAAACACCACAGGGCTCAGAGATATGCCTAAACTCACAAAGAGAGCCTAAGAAAGCGCAGAAACCCGACCTCCAGCCTCCTGACGTCCACCTGACCTCACTGCTGGGCAGACCCGGTGCTCCCTTGAAGACCAGGTCCAGTCCTGTCCCTCCTCCCGCCGCTTTGCCCCTCCTCACCTTTTGTAGGCGGAGTGGTCATTTTTGACACTGCACTTCATGTTCTTCAGCTCATCCAGGACGGCGAACATGTTAATGAACTTGCCCAGCGTGAGGAGATAGGCCTCGGAGACGAAGTCCTTCCTCCGCTCAGCATGGCACAGGCGCTTCACCTCGCTGCAGAACCGCTCGATAGCCTTGCGCTGGAGGGCAGTGGGACAGGGTCACCCCAGCAGTGGCTCACACATGATCACCGCAGCACCGATGGGACCCCCCTCCACGCACCCGCCACCTCCTTCCTTTAACAAAAGCATTTTTCTGCTGGGGATGGAGGCTCCAGGATCCCCCTCCGCTGTTGCCATGAGACGAAGCAGTGTTAGAAACCACTGCTGACAAACGTCCTCAGTGCTGGAGGGGAGGATGGGGTCTCAAAGCCTCAATTTGTGCCTGCCCTGAGAGCGACGTGTTCTCCAAAATCAGGCTCTAGTTTTTAAAGTGGGGCATAAGGACCTCATAGGACATAAAACCCGAACACGCCAGTGAAACCCAGCTGCAGCCAGTTATAAACACAGTCAGTGATGGGGAGAGGTCCCCGGAGCCTACAACATCTCTGTGTTTGCCACACAGTCATTGCTCTGTCGCGATCTAAGCACATTATTTTGTGAAGTGCCTCAAGTGTAGCAACTGCTGAATTTAATCTTTGGTGCTCTTTGCCAGGTGAGCCCTGAGTTTAGGGGTCTGTAAGTACATCCCCTGGCCCAGCAAGAGAGTGTCCAGCTGCATCGCTGCATCCCACTGCAGGCACCAGCTGCACCACCAGCCGTCAGCTCTTCCTGGCTTTGCTTCAGAGGGAAGAGCAGAAGAGTGAGTGGTGGAAGAACTCCTCTTCACATTCACCAGCCAACAACCCAAAAAAACAGGAGCCTGTGGCACCATTTGCTCCATGTAACGAGGGCTCTGGTCCTCCATGAACTTCAGGGCTGAGGTGTGCTCATTCCCAACTCGTATACAAGATTTCAGGGCTGAGCAAAGGACACACAGCACAGATTTTGCTTTGGACAAGTCTCAAGTATCTGCTGGTGCCTGCAAGGAAGAGACCTACTAGGGGGCTCAGGGGCTCTCCAGGCTCGCCAGGCAGGCAAGGACAGCACAGCCCTGCTTAGGATAAGTTAACACCAAAGTTACAATTTATTTTTGCCTCCCTCGACTGCTTACCTGAAAATACATGAACTTCATAAGCTTGGTGACTTCTGGCTCCAGGACTTCCACCGTCTTCTCATAAATCTCCACTCGGTTTGGCTGTTCGTTACATTTCACCTGTGTCGCAAAGACAAAAATCATCCTTGTCAGCATCAGTTTCTAACACAGCTGTGGACCTGCAGCAGCCACCACCTTCTGCTTGTTTCACAGTGAATCCTGTCCCTGTTTGAGGACAATGGAGGGACCCAAGAGGCAGCTTGCTTTCAAGGCAATAGGTAACAGCAGAAGGGGCTACTTCTCGGATGTGAAATTCTCTCCATGCTTTATGAAAAGGCACAATCCTGACTGAGAAATAAAAGTCTTCTAATGCATTTGTCTGGGGCAGAATTCATAAAACAAAGTCTGGACTGGCTGCACAATGTGGGAACGTCGTATCATAAAGTTATCTGAGGCTTTGTGTTGCAAAGTGCCACAGACACACAGCACCATACCATGGCTCTGCTATAGCCTTGCTGAGATAATTTTGGTTCTGTTGCTGACTTATTAATAATCCCTGGGCTTGGATGTGGCTGGCAGCAATGAAGTGAGTCACCTTCATTGGAATCCTAGGAAACTAAATTTAAGGAGACTTATTCAGTTGTCACCCATCTCATTTCCAAACAGCTACTTGGAGTCATTACCAAAATTTTAGGGAAAACCCTAATGGCCCAAGGCAATGCATCCTGCTGCCTGCCTCTGGTTTTGTTTCCAGTTGTTGCTGACACAAGGCTGCGAGAGGGATGACAGCTCTTGTGCAAATTTAGTAGACCAGCAGCTGATGCACAGGGTGCGAGGGGACAAACTGGCCGGTGGCTTTACACATGGGAAGATGCAAAAGTAGCTTTGCCCTCTCTGTAGTGGGGAATCTAATTCCCTGGTGTTTCATACCGCAGCCAGGCAATATCGATGGTCCTGAGGATAGAGCTCGTGGCAGGGAGGAGTGGTGCACATTTAGATGTAAGCTCTGTTCTTCACCTGTAAAACCACCGTCCCTGATGTAGCACATGTAGTACATGACTGCGCAGCCAGACTAGGGGGCTGGGAATAGGACCCCACCGGCAGCAGCCATTTGCCCCGTGGCAAAGCACAAGGGCCACTGCAAGATCAAATCTGCTGCATCTGAAAACAAACCCTCTGCTGTGGTGTCACCTGCTCCTCCATCACATGTGGCTCTGCCTGCAGCCCTGGGGGAGGATGGGGCAGAGAGCAGGGACCCCACAACCTGTGCTCAGAGAGGCACAAATGTCATGGGGGCAACCAGGATGGGAGGAGACTAAAACGCCAAAGCAGCTGATGTGCAGCACTGTCTCACCATCAGCCCAGCCATGGTCTGCTCTCTGTTAGTGTAGCCGCGAGAGGCAATCGCAGCACAGCATCAAATACAAAGGGGAGATAAGCAAATATCCAATCAGCCGCAGAAGTCTCCCCGTAGCCACGTCTCACGAGACCATCAGCAGAGTATAACCCGAGGGGAACTGAGGTTTGACCTTTCATGTGGAACCACAAACACAGGCATTGCCAGCCATGTGGAAATATTTTTTCCTGGCTCCACGGGAGTGCTGCAAACCCTTTTATCAGGGGGCTTAATGGCAGCACACTGCCCCCGCCCGCCACGTTGTCAGTCGGTGCTTTCGCAGTGATCCAGCACGTGTTCACGTTGCTGAGGACAAGCTCTGAGCTGGAGCCTGAATCACGATCAGCGGGCCACGTGGGCAACCTTACTCATTTCTGTAGGTGTTCGCAGAGATGAAGCCACTAAAATTCAGGTTGGAGAGAAACAGACTAGAAAATGGTTGCAGCAGAACTACCAGTAGAGGAAGAGAATGATTAGAGAAGAGAATGAGCCCGCTGTTCTCACCCCGGGCTGCCTGGAATCCCTTCTTCACAGCGTGCAAAAGTCCCACTAGGCACTGGAGCAATATTTAACTGGAGTTGAAGTTCCTGATACAATACTATGGTATCAGGAAAATGTGACATAAACCAGATTTTATGATTTTACTCTCAACTTCCAAAACCTAACTGCCTTTGCCTGAAGCAAACTCCATCTCCCCACAACACAAGAGAGAAAAATATTCAAGCAGTGTACCAGGAAGGAAATAATCACACTGTTTTCATTAAAGCAAAGGCTACCTTTTTTCCAGACAGAGAAGTGGATAAAGACCCAAGCGATAAAACCCAGCACTATCCCAAGGACTATGCTGGAGCAGAGCTGTGCTAAGCTGAGTCCTGTGGCAGCTGTAGGACAAACAGGCTGATCCTGCGGCAATGAATAAACTTCAGGTGTGACTGCTTTGGGGAGCAAGGGAGGGGCTCGTGAAATCAGCAAATGTATATAAGGCAGTTGGCTTGTGGTGAGTATGGTTGAGTTGAGAAGTACTGTCAAGGATGGGACTGGCACATGGATGAGGGTACAGAGCAGATGCTCTCTGCTAGGGCAGCAGTATAGAGCTGCTTCTGAAATGGTTACCAGCTGCTGAGAACAGTGGTTGAGACTTTGTTGAGGAGAGAACAACTTGAAGACTCAGTGGTCTCTCTTTTCAACCTGTCTGCTTCAGTTTTCTCTGCTGTTTTTGTTCTTCTGTCTCCAGTCCAAACTAACCCACACTGAAGACAAAACCAACTAGGTTCTCTGGGAAGGGCTTGAGTACCTGGGGGATGGCTCGTGAGCAGCTCCTCCACGTGTAAAGCATCACAGCGTACTCGTGGCCTTCTTCCAGCATTTCATTCTGAAAGACAGAGAGGTGTTGCTGGGGCAGGGTACATGCCAAAGGCTCAGCATCCCTGGGGCAGCGCCTGGGGGACTCACCATGCTGGAGTGCACTGTTGCCTGCTCGATGTACCTGGCAATGCCAGTCACAAAGGCATTTCTGTCTTCAAAGTTTGTGTCAAAGTTAGCCTATGGGTGAAACGGAGAGAGAGGGATTAAAACATAGCTAGTTGTTTGCTCACCTGAAACAGTCCAGCATGGGATATGTTGGCAAAAGGCAGAATCAGGAGGGCTCCTGGGGCATGGGAGCAGCCTATATAGGATTTGAGGTGCTGGAAATCACTGCACCTCTAGGAAGCAGATTCATACATGCAGCATGTGATGCTTCTGAATCACATGTGTTCATTAGAGGAAATCCTGCAGATTATATGTGTGAAAACACGGCAATCAAGATGGATAAACCCTCGTGAAATCAAGCCAAACAAGGTGGGGATCAGTTACAGGGAACTGCAGCCACGCCAGAGAGCAAACCTACAGCAATTATTCTAAGGCTTTTGGCTTGGTAACTCAAAGACAGATGCAGCCTCATTAATTTCTGTTTGCACCCTGGCTGCGAGGGGAAGACCACATCCTGTCAAAAAAAAATAAACACACAGAAAGGCCAGGGAGCAAGATGCCTGAAAGACATAAATAGGAAAGTCAGCACTCATCCAGACCCCATTATCAGTGCTAGTGTTGCTTTTACAAGCAGCTGCTTTGGGAGGAATGGTTGTTTTGGAAGCCGAGCTACTGCTTTGGGTCAGGATGGGAACCAGAAAGTGCAGAGCAAGGCTGGGGATGAAAAAGCAGCTCCTCGGCCCCTCTGTGCTGAGTGACCGTTCACACGCTCTGCGCTCCGGTAATTTCCTCCGCGAAGGCTGGCTGATGGTATCTGCTAGAGACAAGAGTGCACAGAAGTCCCAGGCGCCTGAAGCTGCTCCTTGCAAGGCCATTAGCGCTGCAGTGACTGCGTTCACCTCAATAACTGATTTCCTGAGTAGGAGGGCCGGGAGCTACTGCTCTCAGTGCCTCCAGGACACGGCATGTGACAAGAATGGCTGAGGCTGCACATGCGTTTCTGGCTAGCAGGGGGAAAGGGCTCCATACAAATCAAGCACGATGAGGAAACAGGCTTGGCCAATATCTCCAGGTCTGGTTTAGAGACGGTTTTTAGGCCCAGCTGTGTGCACGCTTGCGGCTCCAAAAGGAGACTGTGCCATATGGCTGGACACTGAGCCCCTTGCAGGACACGAGCCAGCAAAGAGTAAAAACGTATTTAAAGAGGAGATAAGCCAAAACGATATGAAGGTTTTCTGGGGAGAGCTGATATTTGAGCAGCCCAGAACTGCCTCTGGGTCTGATAACCCGTGGAGATACTAATACTACTGAGCGAGCCCGCAGCCTGACCTGCTGAAAGAGATACTGTCATTCCAGACCCCTGCGTACAGAGCACAGCAATCACTGTGCGGGTATATTTATACACTGCCACGGGTAAGCCATGAATTCAGGAGTGGCAGGATGGAGAAACTAACCCCACATTATATTTAACCCTGGGCGTGTGCTATAGGGCGGGTGTGGTGGCCAAGCAGCCGCGGCATCCTGCTGTGGATCCAAAAGCAGGAGGTTGAGCCTCCCCCTGGGCTCATGCCAACCTCTGCTTGGTCAGGTTCTCCAAGGCAGAGAAGTGATTCCAGCACCTGCCCTTCCTTGCATGCCATGGGCTCCCCAGACCGGCAGCTCCAGCTGTGCTAGCGGCACAGGCCGGCCAAAGTCAGGCAGAAGTTTTGATTTTGACCTACTTAGACACACTACCATAAAAAGGAAGCACAGAAGTATGCGCATAATAAAACATCGCTGAGAACTTTCTGCTGTTATCACAAATCTTATCTCCTGCCTCTCACCCTTTCATGCACTCTGGTCCTTGTTTTCAGCTTCCCTCTGTCTTGCTCAGCCTTACAGATCCCTTTCACCAATCTCTAGCACTTTCCTTCTAAAGCTTTTAGGAACAGATTTGTGCCTAGATCTGTTCTGAACATGTCCTTAAACATGGTGAACCCAGGACATTTTAGGCTAGTTCTCACAGCACCATGTGCCCCTGTGCTTTGCATGAGCTACTGGAAAAACCCTCCCTGCCCCTACCACCTCCGGGAGCTGAAGGTACCTGGTACATGATGGAGGACGGAGGCGGTTCGATGCATGGCTGCTGGTCTGGCAGAGGCAGCTCCTCCAGCAAGTCCACGTTGGACAAGGCATCCTCTAGCGTGACGTGGGTGGTCATGGTTCCGAATGTTCAGTTTCCGCACTAAATCCAAAGGAAAAGAGAAGGTGATAGAAAGACAGACAGACAGCAGCCAGACGACGGAGTGGGAAAGCGCCAAAGAACAAAACCGGAACCACAACTGCCTGGCACTGCAGGAGACATGATCCTGGTTTATCTCGTTTTCCTTTTCCTGTGTATTTAACCTACATCTCTGTGTCATCTCTCCTCCCATGATTCAACAGCAGAGTAGGAATGCAGAATAAGAGGAACACAACTACCCACCCATGCCCTTCTCTGCTTAACTCTATGCAAAACCACTGAAGACAGAGCACAGCTGGGTGCTGCCGCGCAGCTTTAGCCGCCCCGAGTGAAAGCACGTGCTCCGAAATGCAAAGCAGCACCATCAGAAACCTCTCTCGAAACAGCACGGTTAGAAAAGTATGACCGATGCTGACACTCGCATGCTGTTCTTCTCACACATGTGAACAGCACTGGAAACCATAAACAACAAATTGTGTTCTCCACGGTGAACCGGAAAGGACGGAGTGCTGTGCAGGCAGGCTGGGGCACTGCAAGCACCAAAAAGAAAAAAAAAGCTGCTGTTAAAATTTTTTTTCCCCCATTTTTACCACACACGCATTGTCCCCTGCCCAAGTCCCAGCCTGCTGTGGAGCTGCCAGCGGTGCCAGCTGCACGCACACGAAATAACAAGCAACGGGAAACGTTTCTGGAAGCTCACTGGAACTTACCCTAACGGGAACCTCAGGACAAACCTCTATGTCCCTTATCTCCTTTGCCATTCACCTTCGCTGTAAGAGCACGAGTGATGGCTGCTGTCACCCAGGCTGAGTGCTTGCATAATCACAGCCACAGGGCTTCCCCAGTTAATACCTAATCCATGTGAAATAGTTGCGGCCGACCTAGAGCTTGTGTCTCCTAGCAAAACACCCCGCTGCATTTAAACATTTGCAGAGAGAGAACTCGCTGTAAATATTGATATGTCGTTCGATTAGCAAATCGCCCACCCCAGTGCTTTTTTCCCCACTCAGAGCCTGTCTAGTTTCAAACACGAGCCATCAAGTTTTATTGCTCTAATCTGCAAGACAGTAGAGCTCTATTATCAAAGTTCCCATCAAGATACTCACACATTTCAATAAAACACCCTGCAACCTTCGCTTTGGCTCAGGCAAGCGGACTGAGCTCTTTGCCTGCCTTGTTACAGAGCGTATTTTCCAATCCTTCAATCATCTCTTTGGCTTTTCTCTAAGCTTCATCCAATTTTGCAACTTTTTTGCTCAAGCACGGACACCGTAGCAGGAAACGGGGCTCCAGCAGCCTCTGCACGAGCACCAGATACAACAGCAACATAGGCTCCCTCCTTGCATACAATCACAGCAGCTCCTTTGGTTGCAACAGCAGCTCCACAGGCACTCATATTCAGCCGATTATCTGCTACAAATCCCTTAGGTTCTTTTTTTTTTTTGAGTCCCTCTTTCCAAGAATATAGCTTGCTTTTCCTTTGCAGCACTGGGAGCATGGAAGGACAATGGCTTCAGAACATCCACAGATAGACACACACATGCACTTGGCAAGAACCACGGCCAAGGGGGAGGCATGTTGTGTGGAGTCCTGGGGTGGTTTCTTGTTGGGTGACGGGAGGGACAAGCCTGCTGCTGTGCTCTTTATCATCATTGCTGCCTGCACACATGGGCTGCAAGAATATGCATGAGCCTTGTAAAACCCATTTCACCTCCACAAATGCCTCGCCAAGGTACCAGGCAGCTGAGAAACAGGCTTGGTTATACCTGCAGCTGAAGCACCATGAAGTAAGTGCCTGGAGAAAGAAATCTCAAGCAGCCTTTGCTAAAAGGGTTTCCTGTTACAAATTGTAGCAACTGTCAAAACCAGACATTACGTCCCAGCACACCACCGGCAAAAGCAGCTTCCTCCCTGCCTGCCAGCACCAGGTGCTGCTCTGTGCCAGGCGAGCGGCTCCACTCGCCCAGCCCCATTGACCTCCTCAGCTGCCCACCACTCTCCCCCGTCCTCCCGTGCCTCAAGACTCTCCTCTGGGTTCCCGGAACAACATCCCTGGTACTCACACGTGCTTCATGACATACTTCAGGTTTGGGAAGACAAAACCCTTCCATTTCATAGCTTTGAGGATGGTGGCTGTTTACTTGGGCTCATGTCTCATTTTTCTGTACTTGAAACTCTGTGGCCATTTATGCAAAGTGTTGGCAGTTTGCTGCAATCAGAGACACTTCCCCAATAACCCTGTGACAGCCAAAGAGCTCAGCAACTCAAGGGACAAAATTACTGCTACTGTTTGGTCCATACCGGGAGATACTTGGTCAGCCCTGAAGTGGTCAGGCAGTTAGACTAGATGATCATTGCAGGTCCCTTCCAACTGAAAATATTCTATTCTATTCTATTCTATCCTATCCCAATTACAGCGTCAGGGTCCTGCTGTGCTGGAGAGCACACAAACAAGACACTAAGCCAGTCCCTGCCCCAGAGATCTTGCACTCAAATAGAGGAAGAGAGGCAGCGTGTAGAAATACATGAACAGAAAAGGAAGTGCCAAACCATAGTGAGCAAGCAGCACAACCGGCCGATGGCCCACCCTGTGCTTTGCCAGGTGAATGGCAGATGGAAAAACTACACAGACTTTGTGGGTTTAACAGACGAGTCTTCACAGGGACTCTCAATTTCAATTCTATGCTTTCTTAAACCCAAGTGCAAAACCAATGGAGTCTACGGGGAAAAGCATGGTCTGCCAGGACTTCCCCTTGGTCTCATGCCCGTAGCACACTGCGGCAGGCAGCAACCTCACTGCTGGAGTGCGTGATGGAGGGGGTACCAATCCAAGGTTGGCAGACCTGGATCCTCACCCCAGATCATCCATGGAGGAGCAGCCTTGAGCGATCCCCTGTCTGCCCGTGCCATGGCCCCTCACCTGCTCCTTGGGGTGGCTGTAGGGCTGGTGAGGGCCCTGGTCTTGGTTGGGGTCCACTGCCCATCTAGCAGGTAGAGGGGTTGTGTGCTGGTACAAAGGTTGAGGAAGGCTCTGAAGGCATCAGCAATCACTTAGCATGGCCCATGGGGTGCAGTGCGGTGTCTCCCCGTCATGCGGGCTGCCCGGGAGAGCCGAAAGAGGAAGTCCCACTGCCACAGACCCACACAGCCCTCCTTCACCTTCCTGCAAAGATTTCTAACACCAATGTGCTGGGGCTGCCCTGGCAAATCCCGCTTCACCCCCTCAGTCCAGCGACAAAGGGGGCAGCTGTCAGGTAATGTGGCAGCGACCAAGCGGCTCCAGCCTGGAGAAGATGGGCATCCTTGGGGACACTCTTGAAAAAGTCCTCATTAAGCCTTAACCATCATCCATCACCTGGGCTACAGGGCAGGGACGGCTGTGCTGGGGAGAGTTAGCCCATGTTGGTGATTTGCCGACACTGCTTTGGCACACGTGGCCATGGGGCTGGGGGCCACACCACTCGGGGAGCAGTGCAGCAGCCGGCCCAGGAACGGGGGTTTTTGCTGCCATAACGTGCACGGCAGGGCGAGGCTTTCCTTTGCACACAGGAAGCACATCCTGCCTGCGAGGACTCAAACACAACCTCGCAGGCTGCTGGGGACCGTCTCGCAAAAATACTTTCTTCTTCATATCCCACCACTGGTCAGAGAGGCTGAAGTCCGCTGAAGTCCCTCCGGTCCTACATGTTTTGGCAAAACTGAACATGAGCCTGGCAGGAGCCAACCCCACCCCAGAGAAACCCTGGAGAGAAACACAGCCACCGGGCTGATTACCTCTTCTGCTAATGAGCGTCGGTGTTAACGAGTATTGCCCACACTTTCTACCCATCTGCTGCAGAAACTTCCTCTCCCCCTCCCACATCTCAGTTGCAACCCCTTTGGCCATCTCTTACATCTTCTATAGCCAAATGACCACATAGAGGCTCTGGGGCTCCTGGACACTGCCAGGAGAGTCCACACACAGGGCTCGGCCCCACCACCCCAAAATGGAAGTTCAGAGTTCCTGACATGGTGACCCTGTTGCGGCAGCAGCCTGGGGCCAGATTTAACAGACAGCGTAAGAAGGCTTTGAGAAGGAGCGAACATGGACATCCCCGATGTCTGAACTTTTAGGGCAGGTCCTACCTTCCCTACCAAAATGCCTGCCCAGAAGTATCGGTGCAATATCATCCTCTTCACAGCAAGAGGAACAAAGACGTCTTTATTGTTAGAGCAGCTTGGGGGAACAAAGGAAGACTTTTAAAAACAAGGCCATAATGACTATGTTGCATGCGTGTGCGCTCGGCTTCGAAGCTGCGCAGCTGAGAGCTCTGGGGAAGTGGCACGGGCTGATTCGGTTTTTCAGCTTGCCTCCTCCTACAGCAGACATTCATGCTGGAGCTGCAGCAACTACCAAGAGCGGGAAAGGAGGCAAGAAAAATGGGAATTGCCCAGGAGATTGGCAGTAGGAGAGGGTCCAAGCCCTGCAAGCCTGGGGTGAGACAAGTAGCAAAATGACTTTTGCTGGGGAGATGGCAATATGAGGACAAACTTTTGGTCACCTCCTGAGGGTCTGGGATTCTTCTCCAGCTCTGATGTCCAGTCCCTGGTTAACTTGGGAAAGTCACTTAATGTATTTTCACCCCTGTGATAATGCTTCTCCCTCTTACTCCAAAATAGCATTTAACCTGAGGTCAGGAACCATCCTGGCCCAACAGGTACTCCAGGAGACTGATGTCTCAGTGCTCAAAACCAGAGCATTTCTGGTACCCACTGCCTCACAGCAACAGGAGGGTAAACACTCCTGGGCACCAATGAATTTTTAGTCCAGTATAACTTCAGGATGCAAAAGCTTAGTTTGACCCTTGCCTAAAATGCACAGGATTGAAGTCCTCAGTGTCTTATGATGCAAGTCATCAACCCCTTCTCTCATGCTGTAAGAATTACTCCTAATTGCAACCACCACTACCACTGTCAGGAGGTTCTCAACACAGGCAGGA